TGCCCAAAATGCACTTAAAAATGGTTAAAATATTTTTGTTATATATTTTTTATTGTTATCTCAAAAATTAATATATAGAAACCCATTGAATTACATATTTCAAATGAGTAAATTATAGGGTATGTGAAGTCTATCTCAATAAAACTGTTTTTAAAAAGTCAGACAAAAAATCCTGCCTTTCTCCTGAATTGCTGTAAGGTCTTTGAAAGCAGAGGCCATGCCATTTGCACACTCGTGGCTCAATGCCTTTAGGAGGGCTGGTTTAGAAGAGCGCCAATACATGTCTGATGACTGAATAATGATTCCTATTAGCCATGTGGACAGTTCAAATTAACCTCATTCTCTCTGGCTTGTACTGCAGAGCACGTCTCTGTAATTATCTGGATCTCCATTTCAGTGATCTAGTCATTTTTTTTCTTTTTACAATTTTTGTGGTTAAAAACAAAACAGGAAACCTTCTTTATATCTCTAAGAAGAAATCACAACTCAACAAAAAAATCAAGCAACCTGATTAAAAAATGGGCAAAGGACTTGACTAGACACTTCTCTGAAGATGACATACAAATGGCCAACAAGCACATGAGAAGATGCTCACATCACTCATCATCAGGAAAATACCAGTCGAGATCACAGTGAGGTATCATCTCACATCCCTCTGGGTGGCTACTATCAAAAAAAAAAAAAGAAAGAAAAAGAAAAGAAGTATTGGTGAGGATATAGGGATCTGGAAACCCTCGGGCACTGTTGGTGTGATCATAAAAAAGATCCAGCAGCTATGAAGTGTTCTCAAAAAGTGAAAAATAGCACTACTGTGTGATCCAGCAGTCTTACTTCTGGGCATATCTCCAAAGAATTGAAAATAGGGTTTTGCAGAGCTATTTTGGCACCCATGTTCAAAGGACCACTATTCACAACAGCCAAGAGGTACGAGCAATCCAAATGTCCCCTGTTGGATGGATGGATAGACAAGGTGTGGTCCATCCATATTATGGAATATCATTCCGTCTTAAAGAGAAGGAAATCTAGTCACATGCCACCACATGGGATAAACCTTGAGGACATTATGCCAAGTGAAATAAGCCAGGCACAAAAAGACAAATACTGTGTGCTTCCACTTATATGAGGGATTGAAAGCAGTACAATTCATAGAAACAGAAAATACAATGGTTTCCAGGGACTGGGGCAGGGAGAAAAGGGAAGTTGTTCAATGGAGATAGCGTTTCAGATTTACAAGATGAAAAAGTTCTGGAGATCTATTTTACAACAATATGTACTCAATTGTATACTTAAAAGTGGTTAACAGCAAATTTTATGTTCTGTATTTTTTTGCCACAATAAAAAAAATCAGCTGTGAGATTGGTAAAAGGTTACTAATTGAAGCTGAGTGCTGGGTACTTCCAGATTCATTATGTGGCTTGATTTTAGAAAGTGCTTAGAATTTTCTGTAATAAAAAGTAACTAAGAAAAAAACAGCTCTTTAAGCAAAAGCCATGCTGAGGAAGACCTCTCCAGGATCTCTGAAACTTCCAAAGGGATTTAGGGTGTATGAGTTTGAGCCCACACACAGGCTGGCACCCAGGTCGCTGGCACCCAGCGCAGCCCCCTGGACTGAACCATGTCTGCTAAGAACTTGATTAGCACTAGAAGCAACTTCTCAGGTTCCTCTAACACGCTGCAATAATCCTGTGTGTGATTCTCTATCAGAGAGATGTAAATATACTGATCATAGGACATGTATTTCTGATCTATCATAGTTATGTTCTCTATGTTACCAGACACCTGATTGAACTTCTCTGCTACCTTCCTGGAATCAGAAATATCAACAATCTTAATGTTTCATTAAGCTTTTCAAACACGCCGTTGATCCCCTACACAGAATACGCTGCCTTGTTTCCATGGCTTTAAGTCCCAGTGCAGCTTACTGGGGATATTTGCCAAAATATTCTTGGATTCATTTGTAACCCATTTACTAACTTACATTTCAAGGATAATTGTTTGTGTATAAAATATTAACAACATTACCATGCCTGTTTATGGTTACCTAGATGAGCTGGTAAATTATATAAAAATAACAATATAATGATAACCAAGTGCAAAAAGTCGAAAGAATAGGCCAGCTTTCATCCAAGATCTCTCTACATTTTGCCGAAGTTCCAGATGAAAGCTGAAGCAGTCACACATCCGGGTGCTTTGTTTACCTGCTGCCAAGTGTCTACCTGGACAGACCAGGGAAATAGATTGTTTTCAGTGCTGTGGATACAGATGAAACCGTAGGGAATTCAAAGGAGACCAGGCTTCAAAGGTAATAAAGATGATGTTGAAGAGAGAATCACAGGGAGAAAGACCAGGGGGTAAAATGCCAGGAAATGATAACGATGGAACATCTGACATGTTCACACACAGTGGCGTAGTGTTGAACTTAGAAAAAGTAGTGTCTTGGACCCAGGAGGGTTTGATTGAGATACCATGTAATTTACAGAGGTCTTGGGTCTCTTTCATCGTTGGGGAGGGGCCAGCATCTGAGGGCAGCGTTTCTCACTGCGCAGCCAGTTCACTGACCTCTCTTGACCCTGGCTCATGACGTGCCAAACTTTGAGTTATGGCTCTGAAATACAAATTGCCCCCCAAATTAGTAATAAAAACAAAGGGTGTGCCATTTCTTGTGGTATTTCGTTTCTGAGCCTTTGATCTCTGCAGTATATTGAGAAATCAAGTTACCGGGTGGTTTTTCCCCCACGTCAGCCATTTGCCAGCATATGCCGTGACAGTCTGAATTGTCCCTATTGGTCTTTATAAGAGATGGAAGTTTCCTTTGATCTCCTCCTCTGCGTGTGACTTTTGTGCATGGTTTCCCCATTGAATTGTCTGACTTTGGGTTGCTGTTTTAGTTGAAAAGCTAACTGTAGTTTTAGTTTCTTAAACTCCTGATATCTTCAAGCCAGTCCTCTACAGGAAGTATTTGATTTTCCAATGATACCTAGTCAATTACGTTAGCAATGTCTGCCTCGGTTCAGTTTTGCACATACATGAATTTTCTGAAATTACAAGGAGAAACATCTGGTAGAGAAGTTCACGTAGTTGTCACTAGTCTTCATTTGCCAGGATCTGTGTAGGAGACATCCAGGCTAGATTGCAAAGTGCAAACCTCCGTCCCCCATAGCCGGCCCAGTCTTTCCTGGTCAGCCCACGTTCCTCAGTTTCCCCCAGGGACCCCCTTCCACATGAACCAACAAGTGGAGAATGAAGCAGAGAAAGGCAGTGGTCTGTGTGCGTGCTCTCCTGCCTTCTCCTTCCCCTGGTTGGCTGGCGAGATCTCTGCACTCCCTGCCGGTGGGGTCTCCAGAGCCCACCCCCATGAACAGAGGCCTTTTGTAGACATTCCCACGTTTATTATGTTGGAGGATTCTCAGTTGGGACTTCTGAATCACACATACCAGGGAAAGGGGATTGGCATTTATTGGGGCAAATGATGCATGCAATGCTTTGGAAATCTCTCTCATGCGATGACTATTGCATTTTACACAAGGGGAAGCTGAGGCTGGAGGTGTTAATAAATGATTTCCTTTTCTCTCTTCACTACATTTGTACTTTTAAAGACTCTCCCCTTTTCTCCGCTCAGTGGCAGTACAGGCACCTTTGGGCTCTTATGCCCGGCACTCATATGTGTTTTCAGATGCACGGGGAGCTTTGCTGTGTGAATGCAAACGGCTGATGAGCAGGTGCTGGGGGCAGCGGTCCAGCATGTGGAGGCCGAGAATATGGGCTCAGGCTTCACTTGACAACATGCTGGAAGCCATACAAACACTTAGATGCTCCCTCCCACGGCACAGGGCCATTGGTGTGGTGGTTTCCCCATCCCAGTGCCGGGCATCTGGCTCAGCATTCTGAAGATGCCCCCAAAGAGTGGAAAGCCATGTCTACCCCCGAGGATGGGTCCACCTCCCATCCTCAGTGCCGGGAGGTTCTCATGAGCAGAATGGGTTTATCAAGGAGGGGCAGCTTGGCATGGGGGTCCTCGCAGGTTAGGAGCACCCAGGACATGCGCTGGCTAATGACAGACTCTTCCTTTGTGACACAGTCATCACGAATAAGCTAGGGAGACATTTGCGTGCTGTCTGTTTGCCCTGTTGGCTCCATGTGTCTTGTGAGCTGGGTCCATGAGGGTCTCATCAGCCATGGAACCGCAGTGCCTGTACAGAGCCTGGGCGAAGAAGGTGCTGGGTGAGAAGCTGTCAGGCACATGAGCAGGGGTCTTTACTCGGAGCAGCACCTCTGTCAGGGGGCTAAGGAGTCCTCGGTGGGTCTGCGGAGGGAAGCAAAGGCCCCGGGGTGGAGAGACGAATCCTCACCAGGGAAGCAAGCGGGTCGGAAGCAGTGGCTCCGTCAGGGGAGGAGGAAGGACACTGGCTAGGCCAGGGCGTCGGGCGGGCAGCGGGGGAAGGCCTGGGGCGGGGTGTGCATAGAGGCGGCAGGCGGTCTAGAGGAAGGAGCCGGGCAGGGCAGGGTCCTAGCTTAACTCCCTGGAGTGAAGCCGTCCGGACAGGGAAGGACTGAAGAAGGGACAAAGACAAAGAAAGAGGAAGAGGGGGGCCCAGGGGAGGGGAAGGCGGGAAGAGGAAGAGAGGCCGGGAAGGAGGATGGGGGAAGGGGGGAGGGAGGGAGAAGGTGGAGAGGAAAAGCCCAGGAGAGGAAGACTTCCTCGTCTCCCACTAGATAGAAAAGAGCAGGAAGGCCAGGAGGACATGATTGTTTTATAAAACATCACAGAACGTGAGGGAAAACAAACAGTGGAGAAACGGGACTGGCCGATCTGTGCTCTGGCCTGGGAGCACAGCCGCCAGGGGTCCCTAAGGAGAGAGAGAGATTGGCAGGAGGAAGACGGGCCGGGCACAAGAGCGTAAATAGTGGCTCCGGCTTATTTGTAACTTTCATCTTTAGGTAAGGGTGATTGGCACATGGATGGCTTGGTTGAAGGGGACCAACTGATCTTTAACTTGCAGGTCACATGGAGAAAACTTTGAGAAAATGCTCTGACATGGAGATGTCAACTTGAGTGACAGCCCTGGTGAGGCGCCTCACCCTGTCTGCCTTCTTTACATGCATCACTTCACAGAAATGATGACTGCCATTTGAACAGAAGGCTATCCTTCCCGACCAGGGTCAGGAAACTGACAAGGCCCGCCCATTAATAAAAATAACTGTCATTTAAAATAAAATGCTTGGTGGAAAACTTCAGAAATCTATTAGATAACATGGGCCCGTGATCAGGGCACCCGTGAATCACTGGCGCTCAGATGTGGTGCAGTGCCTGGGAGACAGTCACATGGGAGCCGTCTACACGGCGGCCACGTGACCTCATGGTGAACGTGCCAGCCCCTTCTCCCAATTTACTGCTCACCTATATCTTAATTAGGAACTGTCCCTGTGGGACGTGCAGGATGGGATCTGAATGAAAAGATGAACGACAACACGGTTTTGGATTTGATAGCTTCTTGTGTAAAAAACCGTTTAGGTGGTATAGGTTCTTTGGTGAAAGCTCTTTCCTGATAAAATAACAAAGCCAGTCGTGTTCATTGTGGAGAGAGTCTCAAAGCTCAGGGCCTTCTCTGAACTTCCGTGGTGTCTCATTTTTTGATGCAAATAAAATGTTGCATTGAGATATTTGGCTATGTGAAAAGATAATATGATATCCAGGCAATTTTTCTTGAACAGTCAGTAAATTTCTTAACGCAGTACACAAAAATGACAGGGCTTGATGACACGCCTGTGGGAAATGGCTCTTTGTGGACTGTTCCTGGGTGGGTGATGGGTGTGGTTTGCACTCAGGTTGGCGGTAAATAAGGAACATAGGGGTCATGCCCTCCTTCCAGGGTCTTGTTTGATGTGATCTTATAACAGTGACATGAGGAGTATTAACGGGGCCTTTTGTAGAAGGAGACAGCTGAGTACAGAGTGGCTAAGGACTCTCCCAAGAGAAGCCACCTACCTCAGACTCCTGTAAATGGGACACACCTGAAAGATAGGCGTCATATCCATCGCTTTATAGCTGAAGAAACTGAGGCTAGGAGGTGTGCAGCTGATAAGAGTAACAGGAATTCATCCATAGTTTAGTGTGCCCCAAAACCTATTGCAAAGAGCTCTCAAAGAAGATAATGTCAGTCTTCTAGGGCTGTGTAACAAATTTACACAAGTGTAGTGACCTAGAACAGACCCATTTGCTCACAGCTCCATAGGTAGAAGTCATCTATCTGGTCTCAGCTTAGGCTCTCACAAGTCTGTGGCCAAGGTGTAAGCTGGCTGAGCTCTTTTCTGGAGGCTCTGGGGAAGAATTTGCTCCTTCAGGGTGTTGGCAGAATTCAGTTCCTTATAGTTGTGAGACAGGGACCATAGGCTTAGACAGAGTAGGCTGAGGGCCTCTGGAAAAAACAAAGCAAGATAAACCACTGTGGGATTTGCTTTGGCCTGCTGGGAGGCCCAGTTTACTTACCTGACTTTACCCAGGTGCCTAGTCAAGTGATTCACCACCTGGGCAGTTTAACAAGCCAACCCAAAACAAACAGGAGGGATTCCATCTTGAAAATAAGATTGCATTTTAAAACCCAATTTGTTAAAAAGTAACCTTCCCCTCATTTTTAGCCATCAGGTTTTTAGAAAAATAAATATCAGGGTGGTTCAGCCTCAGAGCACCCAGTTAACAAACATAAAATGAGACACAGGGTGCCACGAAGGGGTGTCCCACGTCAAATTCCCTGGAAATAGGCCCTGAGAGGGGGAGCAGGGGGTGCCTGAGGGTGCTGTGGGGAGGAGGGCCTGGACGGAAGTCAGGGCTGGGCAGGAGGAGAAGCAGGCCCACCAGGCAGGTGTGACAGGCTCCAGCCGATGCTACAGGAGCTCTGAAGCCCCAAGGTCTCCAAATCAAGGCCTGAGCTCGGTGTTTCTGCTTCACCCAGTCACTGGCTGCAGGCTCCCCTCAGGGATGTAACCCTGGGTGACTATTCCCCATGACCAAAGGCAATTGCCAGTGAGGCTCACCACTGTGAGCAGCTGTGGGAATGAATGCTTCCATCTTACGGAGGGGAACTGGACAGAATACCCCAGTATCCACTGCAAGAAGGCTCTAAGAAAGGGCTGAGAGTTACAGGGGGAGGAGAAATCCATTCCAAGAAGGCTTCCTGGAGGAGAAGTAGGATATGAGCAGCCTTTGAAGGACTGATAGGATTTGGAGGAGGGACCACCTCTAAAACGAAGTGGGACTAGGATGTGTGCCCACCCGGTGGCCCGTGGTGACTGGGAGGGGTGCCAATGATTCCTCACCTCCCTGGAAAGCAGGAGGCTTGAGCTCCATGAATGCTGGGATGCCTGCAGCTCTAACAGGGTTTGACCCTGTGATCTTCTATCCGTCAGAAAGTGCATGGGGAAATAAAAATAATGGAGAGGTTAATTAATGGTGCCTGCAGACTTCTTTTTAACCTCGTCTACTTCACTATGTCAATAATAACTCAAGAGTAGACTTTCCCCAGGATATTCCAAAGCGTGACTAATTGCAGTAACACTGAACACATTTCTCCCACTCCCATCCTCTCCAATTTGGAAAATGATTTTGCCCTTTTCCAGATATATGGTGGCGAATGGGTGAAAGCATTTGAATCTATTTACATAGTAAAAGCTCAGATGCTAAGATGAGGCACTATAGTGAATCCCGGGCACTTCTTTAGAGACCAGGCCCAGGAAAAGCCTGCCAAGTCGGTACACCAGTGTGGGCATGAGAACTGAACCCGCAGGACCCCCCACTCCTGTTTATGAAAATACTTTCTGAGAATTAATCTAAAATCACATATGCAAGAATTCTTTTTCTGAGAGTAAATTTAGCCTCTAAGACATTCATGTCATTTTTCCCAAGGTCATGTAAATATATTTATTTGTTCATTTTTAGTTAAATCCCAAGACATAATAAGGCTGTTGGGATGAATGTGAGTAGAAAGTCCTGTGCAGACCAGGCAGCTTTCATGGCCATTGTGGGAAGTGATGTGTGATGTCTGGAACACATCAGGGACGTGCATGACTCGGGGCTGTGCTGCCTGCCCCAGGCCGCCGGCCCAAAGTACCAGGGAGGGAACCTGTCCGCGTTTACTGTGGGCCCCACGCAAGGTACCTGGGATATATTGCCAGAGTGACCATCCTTTGTGTGACCCTGTTGATGATTCTGGGCCGGCCTTACGTCAGGCTCTGGCTTCGAGACTTCAGCTAATAGGGCAGCGAAGGCGGAAGTGCCTGCGCCCTGGGGCTAGCTCTCTTGCCAGTCTGGGAACCAGCTACCCCCAGGTAAACAAACCCAGGCTAGTCTGCTGGGTGAGGGGAGACACATGGCCCAGGGATCCCTGCCGCCCAGCCGATGGCTGGCCAACTGCCACACAGGTGGGTGAGGCCACCTCAGACCAGCCAGCCCGCAGCAGGCCTGCCCGGCCACAGCTGCACAAGTGCTCTCAGCTCGGACCACCTGGTGAGGCCTGTCTAGCCCAGCCCAGGTTGCTGACAGGGCAGTTGTGAGCTAAATAAAAGAGGATGTTCAGACACTCAATTTGGAATCGTCTCATTAGATAGCAAGAGCTAATTAATTCAGTCTTAGTCTTAGACTCTTCATCTTTAAAATGGAGAGAAATTTTGTACTTCAGAGGATTTCCTAAAGCGGAAACAAGCCCTGGCCCATCAGAGGTACTCAGAATTTGTTTGTTCCATTCTTTTCTGTAGAAGATGACATGCTGAGAATCAGCCCCACTTTCCCCCCCACCTTTTTCCCACTTGCCATGGCCCTTCAGGGGAGTGTTGACTCTGAGCATGGCTGTGTGCCTTGCTTTGGGAAATGACACGGGGGTAGAAAAGTAACTGGTTTTGAGCCCAGACCGTGAGAGCCCTGGAGGGTTTCCAGTGGCCCTCTGGCATCCCCGCCATTGTTGTCAGAAGAGCGTCCTCTGGATAGGACCCCGGCTGCCGAAGGAGGAGGAGAGACATACCCTCAGAGCGACCTCTGAAACCCCCGCACCCGAGCAGTCCCAAGTGGAGCTCAGCCTAGGCTAGTCAACACCAGGTGACCTACAGGTCAGTGAAAGTGAATCATTACTGTCTTAAGCCTCTGGGATTGAAGGTCGTTTATTACACAGCATGATCGTGGCAATGACTCCCTGATACAGAGAATCCAGACCCACGGGCCACATTCGGACGTCTTTGTTCTGCATGGCTCTCGCCGGTATTTGGAAACAGAGCCAAGGGAAAGAGGGTATACGCAGGGGCTGCTCCCTTACTTCTGCCACATCTCTGCTGCTGTGCAAATGCACACTAACCACTACAGAGAGCCCTGCTGGGAGAACTGAGAATGATACGCCTTTCTACAACTGACAGACAATCGGTCACGTGTCAGGCTGAGTTAAACCTCTATCTGCATCAGCGCCAGGAGGTGTAGGCAGTGTAGTCGCTCGCACCCACTCCCCAAGTCAGGAAACAGAAGCAGGGCAAGATTGAGACACACAGCCAAGGGCATGAGAGTTACAAGCTGAAATCCCGGGTTCAGCTCTCAGCGGTGTCTCCCACTCAGCCACAACTCAGCAGCCTCATTCCACTGGGTAAGCCCCAAATCTGCTGGGTTTCTGCTGTTGCCAGACTCAGGCAGTACTCTGTGCTTATTGTAGGGGCCAGCAGCAATGTCCCCTGGAAATATAATATTTCAGTTTATGAACTGAAGGATGCCTTTTTGCTGGAAAACATTTCCTTACGCCCAGATGTTGCATTCATGTTGGGTGATCCACAAATTACTTCTTTTCTCTCTTTTGAGAAACCTCTGTTGCAAATGTGCGGCAGAGTACTCATTTCTGAACACATTTCATCTTCACACCTGAGTTGGCTGCAACTTCAAAGAGAGCAGGTATTGTTAGGCAGAAAGGAAGTTCCAGGAATAGCCGGTGAGATACAGAAATTTACACAGCAGAATGATCAAGTGGGAGCTCTGGTCGTCCCTTGCAGGCTCCTCCGGCACAGACGATCCTACCAGGAGGGGGTCGTACAATTTATTTACCAAACTGGGACATATGTAAAATGAAAAGGAGCTGAGAAAACAGGTGTAACCTGGGGCTAGTTCTGGGTAATCCAGGACGTGTGATCACCCCATCCCATCAGGGAACTTGA